ACTTTACAAAATATTGTTGCAAGGCAGGATGTATGCTTAATAAACCATTTATGCCAGATTATTTTGTTAAACTCCTGGGATTTTTACATCGCTAAGACTTTCAATTTACTTCTCTCATTGTGTTCCTCCCCTTTTGGCTTGCTTTGGCTGTATGTATTGTATTTTGCTCATCTTTGTGGAAGAGTGCTTTTCAGGGCTAGCCTCTATATTATTGCAATGGCCTTCAAGATACTCTCTGCCTTCCTTTGTTTTCTTATAAACTGCTCCACAAAGAGCTGAGAGATCTTAGTGTCTCTTAAAACATGACACTAGAATTCTGGTTAAGCTTGCCAAGATTCCTGTGTTAACAACCCCTGTTTTATTCAGGTAGGTACAGATTTTTCCATGCCCCCACCCCTTACACACTCTATTTATTTAGTTCTTTTATGCAGATTCCTGTACCTTTCACAATGGATTGTGATTCACTTCAAACCCTTTTTCTTTTTCCTTCCCCCTCTCCACACCACGGCTGACAATATTTACTCAGTTTCTTTAGAACCTCTAAAGAGCATGAATTCTAATGTTTGAAGTTGGATCATTTTTGATTAATTAAATATATATTATGGTGGTGCCAGCAGCATGACTATAATTAAAGCTGTATTGGATTTTTTTTTTTAATCAAAAGCTCTGATTTTCAAGTGTTCGCTCACTCCTATACGTACGTGCTTGCTCCCTCCCTCTCTTGCTCCTTCTCTTTCCTCTGCCCCATCTGTGTTCGCTTCTGCACACACGCTCACCCACCCATTCTCTCTCACACCTGCACTCCCAATTGCTCACGTTCTGTGGCATATCCTCCTCGCTTGTCAGAAGGGCAGAACGCAAAGAGCATCCCTTCAAAAGCAGCCCGTGCCAGTCGCTCATCTGGTCTCCTCCCATCAGAGCTGCAACGCAACACCAGGAGGGCAAAGCTACAAGATGAAGCCATGCTATGGAGAAAGGGGTTCATCTGAATACATGGGCCAACTCCCCCCGTCAAGGCAAGCTTCAGATACCTCAGCCCCTTAGAAAGACAACGTGCCCACCACCAAACAAGCCCCTCCACAGGCAGTAAATCCATATTTCAGTGAGCTAAAAGACACATCTAGGCTGTTTGAGAGGTCATAAACAATAATACGAAACACTAAGATGTGCCACTCTAAAGTCTACGCCATGGTGCTGCAGTGATACCCATGTTACTCAGAGCCTACTTCCTTTCTCAAAGTGCTCTAGACAAGTCAAGCACAAAGCACTGAATAAACGGTGTTGCCCTCTACTCAAACGCACTCCTTGTCTCAACACTGCACAGCTTATCACAACCAACCGTTGTGGCTTCTGCAAAACTCAAGCAAAAATCCAGCAAGTTTTTTGTTTTTTCAAGAAACACTTTATAGGGACAGAGAAAACATGTGGCTGATGAAAGAAAGAGAAAGCAGAAAATCCCTGTACATCCTTAGCGTAATCCAAACAGCTCCTGTAAGCACATCCTAGAAACCTCATCTCTCAAAACACAGCTGTGACCTTGAGGCATGATCCATGCGAGAGGACGCTCATACAACCTCACCCAAGCATACAGCATTGCTGTTGTGGATGCAGTTGTGGGCCAGAGCCTGTGTCTCTAAAGTCTCAGGTCACTCAAGGGACACCATCAGTGTGAAACTGGGCCAATGATAACAGATTTTTAAAGTAATTTGAAATGCTACTAGTTCCCCAAACACAAATGAGCAATGCCTTTGTCATCACATGCTCCTGCATTTTAAAAAACTTTCTAAAAATCCTTCTGAATAGCATGATACAAAATGAAGAGAAGTAGGTACACAAAGGAAAGACTAATGCAGGCCTGAAGCTCACTGTTGTAATGACTCCATTTTGGACTGGAGAACTTCATGGAATGAAAAGGCTCATCTAAAGAGCTACATTGTCAATCGGCAGCAACAGGGGCCCATATTTTTGGAAAAGACAACAGCTGAATAATGACAAAAAACAAGCAGAAAGTACTTGTTTGCAAAAAATCAGCATTTCTTTGGCAGTGTACTTAATAGCTTGCCTGTCAGCTTGTTATTCAAATACAAAAAGTACTTTAAATATCCTCTTTCAAAATGTATAGCTGCCTGAATATTACAGTTATGAATCTAAACAGAAGCAACATTCTGGGCCCAGAGTATCAAATAATACTCTTTTATGATGTGAAAACCAGCTTAACTACACATTTATAAATTACTCATTTCTGAGAGATGCAAGACCTTTACATACAATCTTCTGTTGTCAGATAATGAATAGAAGCACATAATTGTTCTGTACTTTAGAAGATAAAGCAAAGCAACAGTATGAGATGTAAGATAGATACTGTAATAATGCATGCTAAAAGAACACGCTTAACATTCTTAGAAATTTGTTTTCTGAAAAAATCTGTCCTGCAGATATTACAGCCAAACACAGCTAATAAAAAAATAATGCCTGTACTGTCTCAGGAGGTTTGAAAAAAAAAAGTGCATTATTAATACAGCTATCATAAAAGTATGGGTAATGAACAAAGCCAGGTATCCTAAAATTTAAAAATAGTTGCAAGAAGGTAACATTTTATAGCACATACTGGTAACAGTCTTGAAAAAATCCAGATGAATACTTAATAAACATAGGTATTATTTTGTTTAAAAACTTTTGGTTGCTAATAAATGCCTCTATGTTTAATAAATTTGAATGGAATTTGCAGATCTCACTTTTATTTCTGAAAAACCACAGTGAACCTTTGATCAAAATGTAAATAGCCCAACAGCACTGAAGCCATGGCAAAAGGAGGTGTCCAGTTCTTCTCAGCAGAGGAATTTGGGCTCAATCCCAGAAAGCTCTGTAAAAGCGGGGTTTGGAAGAGGCTGCAAGTGCAGTCTCTGATTTCAGAAATCACTCCTCAAGTGATTTCTCTCCCACATCTCTTGACTCTAACAGCATGCTGAAAAGTCCGTCTCTACACTTAAAATTTGGGAGTTAACAGGACATTTTAATAATTGGTAAATAATATTCATTTCTATCGCATCTTATTCCTTTGGGGGGAAAATGTGTCAGCTGCTTTACCTTTGCCTGAAGTACAGTTACGTTTTCAACACGTGGCAGAGATACTGACAACAATAGGCAGGAGACTGCAGGTACGTATATATATACATACAAGCTATATAAATTTAAATTTACTTCAATTACAAGTTGACTCATCGAATGATTAAAGCTTCAGTAGTGGAACTGATAAGCAGGAGTTTATCTAAAGCTAGGTTATACCATATACCTGTATGAATGAAAAAGGATCTACCAAAGCTTAATACACTTGAACTTGCAAATACTTTCCTCCTTTAGGGTGAGCACCCAACCCTGTTACCTAAATGCAGATTTTCCTGTTGACAGAAAGAGAAATTGATCTGTACCTAGAAGTTAGTAGGTTTCTGCCAAGTTAGCTCCTTCAAGGGGTTTCCCAAAGGGTTAACAGGGTGACCTTGCAAAGGAAAGAG